TTCCTCTCCTCCCATTGCTTTTCTCCCTTCAACCCTTGGGCAACCACTTGGCTGAAAGTCATATTGGGCAATTGAGTTGCCCTGTCACGTTTCTCCAAGTCCAAGGCCTCCCAAAAATGATTCACCATTCGGTTTTCATCACAAGCATACTCCGGTATGTGATCAGCAAGGTCTCTGAACTTGTTCTCAAGTTCTTTCACCGTCATGTTACCGCCTTGGGTTAGGAGAGTGTATTCCCTCACCTTGGCGTTTACTTCGAAGTCAGAGTAGTACTGGGCAAAGAATTCTTGTCGAAAATCCTCCCATGTAACAGTTCCGCCATACTTACCCTTGGTTCCATCCCACCATTTGGATGCCAACCCTTCGAGTAACCTTACCGCGATTCTCAGTTTAAAATCGGGGGTGAGCTGCATGTCAAGGGCTGCCTCGTTCAGCCTCTTGATCCACTAGGCGGCAACCGAGATGTCTCCCGTCCCGTCGAACGGTTTGCACCCTAAGTCCCTCGCCTCCTTGATGTATTTGGAGATCCTTATGACTGGACCTCCATCGCCCCGACTCCCATGCGCTTCCACATGGGTTCTCGAATCACAAAAGCTCCTCCCTCTTGGAGCCCCGCCCGAAGGTTTCCCTGCACGGTGCCTTCGGCGTGCCCTCCTTTCTTCGCGCTCCTGATGATACTGTTGGAGCAGCGCTTCGATTCTGGCCAAGGAGCCACTTTCCTCCTCATCACTCACATCGTCATCATTCTCTTCGTAAGGGTCTCAACTGGCTCAGTCCCCGGCTGGTAAGTTGAGTCCTCATAGGACCAATAGGTCTCACTCTCGGTATCAACGTGGCCATCGCTCACGGTTTGACGTTGGCCTCCACGGCCCCTTCCTCTTGATCCCCTAGAGGACCCCCGGCTACCGCGCTCGGACCCACCCGGTGCACGGCCCAACGGGTTCCTCCAATTGGTTCCATTTCTGAAAGAAATTAGAATGAGTCGTTAGACTCGTATCGAGTGTCAAATGACGGACGGGTACTTAAAGACATCCTTCGGCTCAAATCACCGCTATACCAATTGTTAAGGGTACCATCTTAACAATTAGAGGCATTGCAACTCAAGTACCAAAAGTTCTATAAGTACAAAACTTATGCTCATGGTTTTTCAAATTCATTTTCAAAAAGAAATTTTGAAGCTTCATTATGATGTTTACGGACTAAGGCTCTGATACCATTTAAATTGTCACGCCTCGGACCTACCCGGACACGTCAACAACCCGCCGTACAGTACGAATAGTCAACCGCAGTCCGACTCATCCATACTATACAAGGCGTCTTGAATACCATTCACACATAGTACATCCATAAACAAACATAATGTAAAACATTTATTAAAGCAGTGGAAACAATTGATACAAGTGTTCAAGCCACACTTGGCATAATTAGGCATGCAAGCCCCCAAAGTAATTATTCAGAAAATATTATCCATGAGCATTATTCATATTGTTTTTCAAAACAAGAACGGGAGAAGCACGAACCAAGTCGTCTCCTCAGAAACTTCCCGAAGCAGAGGCTGGTGGTAGCAACCTTCAAGTTCTACCTGAAACTGTGAGGTGGCCTCCCCCGTGAAGGGGAGGTCAGTACTTGGAAGCATTTGACAAGTACAATGACAACTATACTAAGTATAATCAAAGTTTAAATCTCTGAGGCCCTCAACTAGGGCATTATTACATTATAGTTAATCCGTTCATTTAATATCAATTCATCATTATTTGTCACGGTCTAGAGCCCAGCTCATAATCACCGTTATCTACTACGGTCTAGAGCCCAGCTCATAATCACCGTCATCTACTACGGTCTAGAGCCCAGCTCATAATCACCGTCATCTACTACGGTCTAGAGCCCAGCTCATAATCACCGTCATCTACTACGGTCTAGAGCCCAACTCATAATCACCGTCATCTACTACGGTCTAGAGCCCAGCTCATAATCACCGTCATCTACATCGGTCTTGAGCCCGGCTCATAATCACCGATTCCTTATAATTCAAATTCTTAGGATCTAATTCATCCATTTCTCAACTAACATTTCCAACTAATATTTCAATGCTAGTTATTTATTTATTTCAATATAATTCCTTCTTCTTGCATAATTGGCCTTAATATCAAATATCACTTTCATACCTTCATGGCTTCTCCTCATGGCATCAAAGTATACTATCCCAAATGATATTCATGGTTGGTACAACCATCACACACACATATTCATAACATCTAAACATACACAATTTATTCATAAATTTGTGTATCATGCATACTATACTTTTAATCAATAGTAGTTCTATTTATACATTATTAACCATCAACAATTCATGCACATCACATTTATATTCACTTAGGAAATCCCATGAAATTAACCCAAAGATTATAAGTATCATAGTCGGTCATCCTCACCTTAATTAAGTTTAAGCGCGTTCTACGTCTCTCGATTGGACTTTGACCAACTCCGGCGAACTTTGACCAACTCCGGCGAACTTTGACCAACTCCGACGAAACTCCGGAGAAGCTCAAAAATACTTTAAATCAAGTTCCTAACAAGGTTTTATCATCACAAAACCCATATCAACACAAATAACCTATAAAAGGTTATTTTCCGGCAAACCGGTCGATTTGGCTTCTAAGTCCGTTTTTGGACTTAGAATCACTTTCCAACCCATCATTCCACACTTAAATCATGTAGAACAATACTAAAGGTCTTTTATATGATATATACCTTATATGCTAGAAGAAAAACAAAGGAAAAGTTATGATAAGGTCATTACCTTAATTTTCACACTTTTTCCTAGCTTTTTCCTCCTTAAACTTTCTTCTTGGACTCCCTTTAGCTTGAGTTCGGATTTGGGCTATGGAGATGAAGTTTGCAGAGCTCTTCTCTCCTTCTTGGTGTATTTGGGTCGAAATGATGAGTGTAAGGAGGTATGGGTGGTTCCTTCTTGTCTCCTTTAGACAATGAGTGAAGGAAGGGGGCCTACTACATGTCAAAGGTGTCTCCCCCATCCTCTCAATTGTTGTTCAGCCAATTTGGCACTCATCCAGCCCTCAAGGGTTGACAATTTCGTGGGGTGGCCCCCACCCATGTGGGAGATCATCCCAATTTGTCCCAGCGTGTGCAATTTGCCCCGAAAGTTGTATTTTTCGGACTGTTTTAAGTATATTTTATTTTATCGGGTCAAATAAAATATAACACTTGTTCCCAATTCTTAATGGACCTTAGAATCAATATGCATCCCTCAACTTTAATTTAGAAGTCTCCGAAATCCCTTTTCGGGCTGTTATCTGATAGATTGCCGATACTGATAATTTGGCCCCGTTTGACCAACCGGTCAACCCTATGCCATTGTCATGGCTCAACTAGGATATCCACCACCATATACATATTGTCTAGTCCAAGATCAATATAATATGTGGCCCTGATAATATCGGGCGGTCCCCACTCCCGATGTGGGCCCCACGTGCATTTTACTATTCACGCGAAAAAAATTAATACAAATTCACAACTTCGTAAATTCACTAAATATTTTCATAGGATCCAATAAATTATTAGCTTAAAGATAAATACATTTGGGGACGGTGTTACATTGACATGATGAAGACATTAGTTACTAATTTAATTCACTATTTTTCATCCCACCTGAATGAGTCCTTTAGTAGAAGCCATTTGAGCCTTACCTTGTTGTTCTTTTACCCATAAATTGAGATCTATTGCGAAATGGCCTGTGTTCTAACCCGTGAATAATTCTGACAGTATCTTGGTGTTTAGGGTGCTAGATGATTAATTTGCTAAGTTTAGGGATTTTTGTAAGAGCCAATTTTGGCACTGTTCTTATGCCCAAATGGGGTAAGAGCAGTCGTTTTTAGAAATTTGATATTTTCGAGGATTGCATTGTAGACATGGATTCACTTGTTTAATGAACTTAAATTGCTAAATTTTCCTTGGTGAGGCCGAGATTAGAATGGGGTAATGTCTAGTAAAAATCTGAAAAACGAAAAAAATTATTAATTAATATAGCTAGACCTCTACCTTGCGAAAAAGAGAATGAGAGACCCAGTCAAAAAGCGTAAGTGATTTGTACAATGAGAATGCTCGGACATTAGCCCAAAAATTCATTTGGTTTTCTCCCTTTCCGGATTTCCATTAATTAAATTTTAATTAATCCAACCTCTCTCTTTAGATTAGCTAAAATTCATTTGACTGCCTTTCCAGTTGAAATTTTAGTCGACATTTGGTATAGGTAAACTAGACTTAATGAAGAAGATTCTAAAAAAAATTCATCAAAAAATTCCACCGGAAACCGCCCCAAATGGCGGCAGCCGAACAAAGCCTACTGTAAAAGAGCTTATTTGCACTTTTTATGAAAGTTCGAGGGCTTATTTGATAGTTCTCCACAGTATAAATCTTGAAGCTACCATTAATTAATAGAGTTTTTAGCTAATCTAGAGAGGGGTTGGAGAAGAAGTGAAGGGGGAGAAGAGAGGGATTCCAAAACATGGAGGGAAACTTTCTATTTATAGGAAAGGGGATGGTAAAATCTACCCTAATGGACTGAGTGTGCTGAAACCGACTCCAAGGGTTTAAATGGACCTCATGGATCGATGTTTGCATGGGGATAATGGACTGGGCTTCTGAACATAGTGATTATCAATACAAAACCTTTAAGTATTTAGACAGTGGAAAATGGGACTTACCATTATAACAGTTAATATGAGCAAAATGGGCCTATGGAATCATATCGAGAGTCGAGACAATATTGGTTCGGTTTTGTGTCCACTAAATTTATTTCATTTAGTAAAATTAAATTCAATCATTCTTGATGTACACAACCTTATGCACACCATGTTTGTAAAACTTTTTTTTGTCTGTGAATCGATATTCACAGACAAAAAAAATAACTTTCACAGACATAGATGTGTATAAAAATGTGTACAAACATCGTATTTGAATTAAATTAAATGTTAGGAGTACAACACAAAATATCATAATACCACAGGTTGTTGAAGGATTTGTATCCCTTCCCCGTCTTCTTCCGCTCTTCCCTAACCCGGTCTTCCGCTCTTCACACCAAAACCCTAACCCCCTCCTTCTTCCGCCGCACATCCCCTTATTTCTAGCTAAAATCGTAAGTTTGATGAAAATAAAGACCCCGACGAAGAAAAGAATCAAGAGAGAGCTTGATAAACGTGCACCTAAAATCGTAAGTTTGATATTTTCCACCTAATGAGTATTTTCAAGTGTTGTGTGTGTTTATATTTTTAAAATTTGTAGATATTTGATGAAGGCGACATGAATTTTATCTTTGAAATTATAACTTTGATGGTGCGTGTGTTTCGCAGGTCGAAGATGGGAAGAAAACTTTAATACTTCACGGTTCAAAAACTAACCACGTATTGAATGCTTTACTCACCGAGATTTATCACCTTAAGAGGGATAATTCGGTTAAGTATAGCAGGAAGAACGGGAATATCCGGCCTTTTGAAAGTGGGGGTGAAACATCATTGGAGTTTTTTCTTCAAAAATCTGATTGCAGCATTTTTGTGGCAAGTATAAATCCCTTTACTATGTTTTGATTTTTTATGTATCCATCTTTTGTTACTGGTGGGGTTATGATTATCTGTGTGACTGTGTGCTAAGTACAGTATACTTACGTGGGTGGCATGTACACATGCTGATGCATGGACTCACAATTATATTAGATATGAAAATGGAAAAAATAATCACATTTTATATTCCTGAGTTACATATGTTTTTTCTCAAGGCTAAAATCTATCATATTAATAATGTGATGTACACCTTATTTTCAAGTACTAAATTTTACCAAGTAGTTTTGGTATTTATAGAAGCTGAATATATTCACCTAATCTATCTCTGGTCACTGTAATTATCTTGTGGCAGCAAATATTGGATCTCTACATTATTTAAATTAGTAGTGACCAGTGAGACAACTAGTAGTGACCAGTAATCCTCTATGTTTATGCCGTATTCTTTTGCAGTTTGGGACTCACTCAAAGAAGCGACCTAATAATCTTGTAATTGGAAGAGGGTACGACGACCACATTTATGATCTTGTTGAGGTGGGTGTGGAGAACTTCAAAAGCATGGATTCTTTCTCATATGATAAAAAACTGGCTCCTAAAATTGGATCAAAACCTTTCTTTGCTTTCATTGGAGAAGGATTTGAGAGTGTTGAAGAGCTGAAGCATTTGAAAGAAGTTTTACTTGATTTATTTAATGGGGAGGTTTGTCTAATGCTTCTTCTACTCTTTCTGTAATGCTATCTTCTCTTTTAGACAAGCGCAATCATAGGCTGGGCATTATGCAGGTCGTGACAAATTTGAATCTATCTGGATTGGATCACGTTTATGTATGCACAGCTTTGTCATCAAACAAGGTCTTCTTAACTCATTGTGCATTACGTCTTAAAAAATCTGGCACCATTGTGCCAAGGGTAGAACTAGTTGAGGTTGGTCCGTCAATGGATTTGGTGCTTCGAAGGCATCGCATGCCTGATGAGAGATTGAAGAAAGAGGCTATGAAAACTGCTCCTGGGAAAGCAAAGAAGAAGGTTTATTCACTCTACCCTATGGTTTTCCTTATCACTTTGATGGAAATCTTTACCTACTCTTGCTAATTCTGTTTCCATTTTCAGGAGAAAAATGTCTCCAAAGATACTATTCAAGGAAAAATTGGGAAGATTTATATTCCTGATCAGGAGGTAAGACCAAATAACCAATCTGATCTTTATGATTTTTACCGCCTGTCAGATGTGAACTTGTAGTATATTATTTCATAAATGATGGCTGTGCTCCTTGGACATAGATATTTAGGACAGTAGAATGATGAGATTATTAATACAATGGTTGATAAACATTGTTTAACATGGATTGATTGGATTGCATCTGATTACAAATATCCTCTAGCAATTTTTCATAAAATTTCCTAAAATATGATTCATAAAATATGCAAGGGACTTAATTAAATTTTGATGATAAACAAAATCTGATTTTAATGCTGGCTATGAGATAGTGTAGTTCTATATAATAATAATATTCTGGACATATGATATGACCTTATTTCATTAATCAATCCAATTCTATCACCCCTTATAGTGGAAAATAAACAGACCACATTGTGCTGGTTCGGATCCAACAGAGCATTATGTGCTGGTTCGGATCCTAAAGGAGTGGAGACAGGGTTTTGGGATAATGTGCTGGTTTGGATTCTATAGGAGTGGAGACGGATTTTTTGGGATAATGTGCTGGTTTGGATATAGCAGAGCATCCCATAAGACCATGCTTAGTTCGTAGTAATATTAGATAATTTCTGTAAAGTTGTGACACATGTATTGATGGATGATGAGTCATCAATTCCACGAGCTGCATATGGAGTAATTCATCATGATGATCAACCTCCAGCTTCTGCACCCTTAGTTTGTATTTAATTGTTGACATTTCTCTCTCTCTCTCTCTCTCTCTCTTGTAGATTGGGAGTGTGCCACTGCCTAACAAAGCTAGAGGAGTTAAGAGAGAACGCCGTGAAGCTAAGATGAAGAAGGGAACAAACCAGTCCGATGAAAAGAAACAGAAGCTTTGATCCAAGTGATCTTTGTTTTGCCTGTAGGCTATGTTGCTATTTTTTATTAGGTCAATGCAATTCTAATTTCACATTTTTCTTGCACTTGTGTGTGTGAGCTGTTTTACTAATCCAAGTTTTGGTATAGTGTATGGGTATGTGATGGTTTTACTACTTCACGTTTCATCCAGATGGTCTGTAACCCAACATATTGTGTATGAAAAAAGCCATCTGTATTCCAAGTTCATTGTGTGCAAGGGAGATAAGTTATGGGATCAAGTCTCCATAGCATATTGATGGAACATTTGATGTTTTGTGAGCTCTCACTTTGCAATGGTAATTAATTGGTAGCCTCCAATCCTCTATCTCGTGTAATCCATAAAGCCTTCATATTATATTGACAATTCAGAATACATGTCTGTATATCCTTTTACCCAAGACATAGCAAACTCATGCCATGCCATCCATCAATCCAACATGTACAACATGGATACTACATTTTGGCATAACATTGTGGCGGGTTGAGCAAAACTTGCTTTCTTTTTCCTCTCCATATGTGCAGGTATATTTGCCTATAAAATCAAGGAGATTATGTCTGATATGGTCTGGTAAATATGGCCAGGTGTTGGGTTTATGTCTTGCTAAGCAAAAAGGCAAACTGAAAATGTAGGTCACAAGACATGTATGATTAGAGCACAATATTCCCAGATATTGTGGTACTTTATCTTGAATTAAACCTTACTGAAACGAGGGCAAATATGGATTAGTTCTGACTTGATTTTGATTCCCCGTTGATTAACAGTCCATACATGAGTTGCCTAGTTGGTTTTGATTTCCACGGTCCATAGTCCATACATGAGTTGGTTTTGGTTTCCAAATGGGCTGTTTATGTTCCATACATGTACTACCTTGTTTTGATTCGCGAACAGGCAGATTAACGCTCCATACATGTCCACCCTTACTTAAGATTGTTTAACTGGGTCTAGTATAGGGATGGACTGGGTCTAGGCTTGGATTTGGGCCGGGCCACCCGGAACCGGACCGGCCCGCTACTGTGCGGGCTTGGACCGGCCCGGTGAACGGTTGGTGCCCGGTTCGGGCTAGGGGTGGACTCGGGCCGAGCCAACCGGCCCGGAACCGGACCGGCCCGCTACTGTGCAGGCTTGGCCTGACCCGGTGGGATGGTGGTTCGGGCTCGGGCCCTTCAAAAGGTGAACCGGCCTGGCCGGTTCGGGCCCGGGCCGGGCCAATTTTTTTTATTTTTTTTTTTGAATTTTTTTTTATGTTTTTGGGTTGGGCTGGGTATTTTGGGCCATTTGAGGTGTTTAGGGTTGGTTTGGGGGTGAGGGGGAGGGTTGGGGTTTAACTAGGAAAAGCCAAAAAAAAAAAAAATAGAACGAGGCCCGGCCCGGACCCGGGGGTTACCCGGGCCGGTTCCGGGCCTCCCCTTCTTGAATCGAGGCCCGGTCGGGCACAGACCCGAACCGGGCCCGAACCGGAACCGGTCCATGCCTAGTTCGGGCCACCCGGCCCAGTGAGTTAGGCAGACCGGGCCCGGGCCTCCTAATTCGTGAACTGGCCTGGCCGGTTCGGGCCCGATCCGGAACTCCGGGCCAAACTATTTTTTTTCTTTTTTTTTTGAATTTTTTTAAGTTTTTGGGTTGGGTTGGGTATGATGGGCCATTTTAGGTGGTTTGGGGGCGAGGGAGAGGGTTGGGGGTTAATTAGGAAAAGCCAAAATAAAAAATATAAGAATCGAGGCTTGGCCTGGCCCGACCCGGGCCTGTGGTTTGGGCTTTTCCTAGTTAACCCCCAACCCTCCCCCTCACCCCCAAACCAACCCTAACCACCTCAAATGGCCCAAAATACCCAGCCCAACCCAAAAACTTAAAAAAAATTCAAAAAAAAAAATGGTCCGGATCGGGCCCGAACCGGCCGGGTCGGTTCACCTTTTGAAGGGCCCGAGCCTGAACCGAGATTCCACCGGGCCGGGTGGCCCGAACCGGCCAACCAACCGGTTCACCGGGCCGGTCCGAGCCCGCACTGTAGTGGGCTGGTCCGGTTCCGGGCCGGTTGGCCCGGCCCGAGTCCACCCCTACTTGGAATTGAGCAAAACATATACTCCAATTTTGAGAAACAAGCATTGCCAATAAAATAAGAAAGATTGAAAGGCTATCATCAATTATTTATTAAAAAAAAAGTTTTCCAGAAAATTTACAGGATCATCTTTGAGTTCTTTACCACTGCAAAAGTTGGCTTAATTAGTGAGTTTAAACTTAACCTTTACACTATTTATAATATTTACTCTCTACAGTTAAAAGTCACAGATAAGAATGAAGAAGTTTAATTAAACTACGCATATTTTTTTTATTAAACTACGCGCGCGCGCGCACACACACACACACATATATATATATATATAATAAGGATCAAATGAGAAGAGTGCTTATCGTAAGAAGTGAGAATGCATCTGGTGCGTTCATTTTAAAGTGATGCTAGACGCGGTGGCATTTACGTAATCAATCAGAACTTTTCTGCCATCGCAAAAAGTGCATCAGATTACCAAAAAAGTGTATCAGGAATACGTAAATGTGTATCTTTTCACTTCTCACGTTAAGATGTCTTCTCATTAGAACCCAACCCTATATATATATATATATGGTCATATGGGTATATGTTAAAAAAGAATGCACAAGTTCTCTACGTAGTTAGGTGATGGAGTATATGAGTCTAGGTCCCAGGACCCACATACTCAGAAGAACAGAAAGTACAATCCACTAAGTGGTGCCCTCGTCGGCCAAAGGACCCCCGTCGGCCGAAGAGGGACCGACTCAGAATATGATCCTAAAGCCAGGGAACTAGGGTGTCCCCGTCGGCCGTGACCTCATCGGTCGTGTCCTCGTCGGCCAGACCCTCGTCGGCCACGGAAGCCTCACAGAACTAGATTTTACACTTATTCATTTATATACCCCATCATTTACTTTGTATTCGGCCCAATAGCGGTCCAGTTGTAAATGGGCCTCCCAAGGCTTGGAAGCCCAGCCCGTATTTTTCCTATAAATACTTCCTCTAGAGGTAGTTGTAGGGGTTACAAAATCATTCTATTGAAGCATTTACTTGCACTTCTCTCTCTAGCTCTCACTTCTCTCTAGATATATACTCTATCATTTGGTGCTCTCGATTAGAGGTAGAACAATCAAGTTATCACCCTTCGTCAGCAAGGCCATCCCTGAGGATCAGGAGACCAGGGAGCGTGAAGAGGACGCCACGGCCGACCAGGTCGGAGGAGGGGACGTCTTCCAGGAAGCCATCAACCTCACGACGGACCTACGTAACCAGCTCAACGGCGGCGCCCCTGATGCCCGCATCGACCTGGACAAGAAGCGCGCAGAGAAGACAGACCACGCCCCTGCCCAGCCTATGGTCGTGGCTTCTCCGTCTGTGGATCCACAGGTTCAGGCCGCGTTGTCGGTCATCATCGCCAGCTTGACTCAGAACCCCACCGTCCTCAGCGCACTCTTGCCAAGGACCGGGGGGAACGTCACTCCACCTCCTCAGCCCCAGCCGTTGGCCACTAGGTTAGGCAACGATGAGGGGGTGATAGCCCAGGACACAGCGTCGTCCCACTCCCACCCCGCTTCCCCTCTTCGGCCTGGGCAGACCCCAGCGCGTGGAAAAGCCTCTGCCTTCAATAGGCTGGGTGACACACGCCGTCGTCCAGTTTCGGAGAGGATGGCGGGACGGATTGGTGAGCGTCGGCCTGGCTTGCCAAGGGAAAGCTTGGGGTCTGTGTCCCGGACAGCGGACCAGCCCCGCCTGGACAAGGGCAAGGGAAAGTTGCACGAGGACGACGTGCGCCACCAGATCAACGCGGCCCACGAGGGGCGCAAGCAGAACCAGCAGGGCGCCGCTGCAGCCGCCAGGGATCCTCGGGACGAGGTCATCGCCCAGCTTGAAAGGAGGCTGGCTCAGATGGAGGCCAAGCAATCGGCAAACATTCCCACGGCCGGCGCCTCCAACGATCCTGGCCTCAACGCTCTCATGAACAAGGTCAACGCCCTTGAGAGGGAGTTGGTCGAAGGGCGAGGTGACCCCATCATCCAGGTCAAGACCAGGACCCCTTTCACTAACAGGGTGCTCTCGGCCCCCATCCCGGAGAAGTACAGGGGAAACGCCATCAAGTCCTACGACGGCCGATCAGACCCCCAGGAGCACTTCACTCGCTATCAGAACAACATGCTGATGGTGAACGCGTCGGATGAATATCTCTGCCGTTGGTTCCTCTCCACTCTCGAGGGGCCGGCGTACGAGTGGTTCAACGCGCTTCCCGAAGGGAGTATAGACTCATGGCAGGACCTTGCCCAGCGTTTCCTCACCCACTTTGGCGGGAGGAAGCGTGCGAAGAAGTATTTCACCCATCTCCTCTCCGTCAAGCAGCAACATGACGAACCCCTCCGGTCATTCATTGATCGGTGGACGAGGGAGACCGAAGAGGTCGAGGGGGCCGATGAGTGCACCCTCGTCGTCCTCTACCAAGGAGCCCTCTGCAGCTCCCCGTATGCCAGTAGCCTCATCACCGACCCTCCGAGGTCATATGCAAAGGCGCTTCAGCGCGGGAGCTTGTACGCTGATGCTGACGAGCTCCACAACCACAAAAAAGACGGAGGCCATCCCTCCAAGAAGACAAATCCTTCGCCGGCCCCGGGAGCATCCCCGGCCGGCCAGGGTGCCTAGGGCCGTCACGGCTCTGGTGGACGAGGCAAGAAAGACCGCCATCGGCGGCCGAGGTTGGAACGGCCAGGGGTCCCCTCACCCACCCGGTCAGTACCATCCTCGACTATGCCGAGAAGCATGGCCTCATTGAACAAGCTCCTCGGTCGGCGGAGGAAGTCCTTGCCATCCAGCAAGGCAGCACATACTGTCGATTTCACAAGAACTCCTCACACAACACCGACGACTGCATCACGCTGAAGAAAGCCATCGAGCGCCTGATTCGTCAGGGGGAACTCTCCCAATTTGTTAAAGGTGGCCCGCGCAAAAATACGTGGGTAAACACCGGCAAACCTGGGGGCGAACCCTCTACGAAGAAGCGGGAGATCGGTAGGCTCAGCGACGACGAAGATTTTGAGGAGCCTCTGCCAAAGAAGAACCATATTCACCTCATCGTAGGTGGGAATACCGGGGGGGACTCCGTCACCCAGAGGAAGAAATGGGCCCAATCCCTTTACATTGGGGAAGTGTCCCACGTTCCCCCCCCCCAGCCGAAGAAGCAGCGAACGGAGGCGATCACTTTCACCGACAAGAATTTGCCCCCGGGTACGGAGTCACACAGGGACGCCCTCGTCAT